TCTATATAATGGCATTACAAGGAAACTGGCACTGCAAAAGAATGTTATTTGTGCAAAGTGTGAAGGTAAAAAAACAAGTAGTGGTTGCAGAACCCTCTTTGAGTTGTTGGTGTGGATTGTCTGAGGCTGAGAAAAAAGACTGAAGGCTTTCTTACTTTTCTGTGTCTTCATTCTTTGCCTGATCCCTGAAAGTCTGCCAGGGTATTTAATTCTTACTTAGGCTTATCCGAAAGTAAGTCTCTCAATGACAGTGTTACAAAGTGATTGTTCTAATTGCAAACTAAAACTGTTGAGTTGCAATTAGGGGGAACCTAAATTAACGTGATCTTCACCCAGAACTTGGATCTAAATGTTTATTCCGTAAAACTTCTTTAATTTAGTGGGTGGAAGACTAGTCTTGTGTTATGCTACTAATTTTAGTTATTAAGTACTCCCTAGACTGGTCCTCTTTTGATGTAAATTTTAATAAGTCTTTATATCTTAGTACTCTGTTAAATATTTTGTAAGCAGATTCTTTTCCAAGTATTAATGGAATGTTTATGTTTTGAATTTGGGATGCTGACAGTGCCTTGGAAACCAGGAGTTACTGGTGGGTGGGGCAGAGGCTAATACAATAAGCAGTATAAACATTTTATTTGTAGAAACCACCAGCTTGTTGGGTATGTTTGTGATGGCAGCTAAATTCCATTACTGAACTACTCTTAAGTTACCCTAAGTATGCTCTTAAAGTCAGTGAGTTCCGGCCTGACTACTCTTAATTTTTTGAGACTAATTTAACTCTTTTGTCAAAGGTTATGGCGGAAAGAGAGGGGCAGTAGAAAAATGTCCTGTGTGTAAAGGAAGAGGGATGCAAGTTATAGTTCAGCAGATTGGACCTGGCATGGTGCAGCAAATCCAGACTGTGTGCCCAGAATGCAAAGGCCAAGGTGAAAGAATAAATCCAAAAGACAGATGTGACAACTGCAATGGCTGTAAGGTTGTAAGAGAGAAAAAGATCATAGAAGTTCATGTTGATAAAGGTAAGAACTGCATATTTGTACTGGTTCCCAAATAATAGTCAATACTAGTCTATAGTTCTGCAGAGAATAAATGGGTTTCTTTTCTTCAGGTATGAAAGATGGTCAGAAGATAGTATTTCATGGAGAAGGCGACCAGGAGCCTGATTTGGAGCCTGGTGATGTTATAATTGTCCTTGATCAAAAGGATCACAGTGTCTTTCAGAGACGAGGGCATGACTTAATCACAAAAATGAGAATTCAACTCTCAGAGGCCTTATGTGGTTTCAGAAAGACAATTGAAACTCTGGACAACAGAGTTCTTGTCATATCTACTAGGCCAGGTAGGTCGTTAAGAGTTCTAATACTATGTAAACTGCTTGTTTGTTTAATTGTACCTGGACTGGACTTTTTGGGGAAGATTGTTCTACTTGTTTTGGGGTTTTTTTTCCTAACCAGATGAATGCAACAGGTTCATGAGGCAGTTGCTCAGTTTAGTTGGTTCTTTGTTGTCGTTACTCTTTCTTGAATTGAAACATTCAATTATACCTAAAGCTGTCAAATACTTCATAAACCTCAGCTCCAGTTGGTGGATAGCTTAGAGGAAAGAATCTTAATTCTACTAAATTATCTGTTCATTCAGCCAAGAAAAGCTGATTTCTCTTATAGCAGGGGAAATAGTCTAAATGGCCTTAGTTGTGAACAGCTTGGGTTTAGGTCTTGTGAATTGGTTACAATCTCCCTGAGGTGCTGTGAGAACACAGTGTACAGCCCTGCCTTGTGTGGCTGTGAAATGCTGTCCCATCACAGCAGCTCACTTACAGCTCTTGCCTCCATAGGTGAAGTGATAAAACATGGTGACCTAAAGTGTGTCTACAACGAAGGGATGCCTGTCTACAAATCTCCAATGGACAAAGGCAGCCTGATCATACAGTTTTTGGTAAGCTGTATGCTTTTCTGTAGCCAATATACTCATCTTTGCACATGAATAAATACTAATTTTACAAAACATTTAAAATTGTAGGTCCAGTTTCCAGAGCACTACTGGCTCCCAAGGGAGAAACTGCCTCTGCTGGAGGCTCTGCTTCCTTCACGAGAAGATGTTATGGTTACAGATGAGATGGATCAGGTAGACCTTGAAGATTTTGATCCCAATGAGCAAACCTACCGTAACAGTGCAGGAGAAGCATATGAAGAAGATGAGGAGGGTCCAAGAACAGGCGTACAATGTCAGGCATCTTAAAGCAAGGTGGAGCAGATGTCATCTAAGATGTAAATTTTCACAATGAAAACTGCATGGCTGTAATAGCCACTGCTTGTGAGTTTTGTGTTCAGCAAATTGAGTTGCTGCGCTGTCAGTATCACCTTTTTGTAACTAATTTATATTGTGTTCTCGTAGTCTTTCTATATAAAGCAAATGTCATACAGCTGAGAACCAACTGAGTTGGTATGCATTTTCCTTGCTGTGAAGGTTCTCAATTTATTCACCTGTGCTATTTCTATAAGACTTTGGCAATATTGATAGAGGCTAAGTGGAGTGTCTTATGTAAATACTTTCATACTGGAAGATTAATTTCATAGAATAAAACATAGCAGAATAACTTCTAATAAATAGTACTTCACCTTTTCTTGTGCTTCTCTTGTACTTGCTAAGCCATTCTGGACCCCCCTTTATTTAAACAAGTTCTTCTAAACTCAGACTCCTGTCATCTAGTCTAGATTATTTGTGTTAGCTGCACCACTCACACCTGCCTCATTTTGTATTTCGGAACCATTTTGTGCATGCCCTCCTCTCTGCCTCGTAGCCCCCTCTTCCTGTGTTTGTGGGTTTACAGTAGCATTCCTTCACCTGCTTATGTGTGCGTGACCTAAGGTTACAAGCTGTCCTCTAATGTGTTGCATACAAACAAATACTTGCAAATAAAAGTTTGACCTTTCAGAAGCTCAAGCTTTGTATTTCAGCCTTCCCTAGAAAGGGTTTTTACTTCCTCCTAGGCATTGTATACTTGTGCCTTAACTAAAATGAATAAACCAAAACCACCTGCACTGCGTATACTGCTGCTCTTTTGTAAGGTATGTGATACCACAGAACAGCAATCCTATTAAAGCTTTTTTCCATTTTACCTATTTGCTGGCAGTGTTTGTATTAAGTCAGGGTTAGAAACAAGTGCTCCCCTTTAGTGAAATTAAACCATGATGAATGATCTATATCCATGTACCACACAATTGCTGAAACAGGTGTTCAGCTTAAGTGATCCTCTTGCACTCACTAGTCTAGCATCAGGACTAGCTCTGCTGTCCTTTCCCATGTCTGTAATACAGCCTCAGTCATTTCCTTCTGCTAAAATAGCTGCTGTAACACTTAGCCCATGCTTTCCAGCTCTGGTCTATTTATGTTTAATGGCAGGAGTGATTAACTGAGCAGTTACTTCACCCATGACTATCTATTTCCAAAAATACTTTTTTCCCAAGAATTAGACACAAGGACTTGGAGCTGTAGCTTTTATTTTAAAAAAGTAAGTTTTTTCTCTCATGCTAAGCAAAATCAAAATTAGATCTGGTTTTGCAGATCAGTATGAATGCTTTTATCATACCAAAAAAATTACATAGGACAGTAGCAGTCCCTTGAAACTACTACAAGACATTTACTGAAGTATCTAAGTCAAGACATTTAAACTGGACAGTCATAAATATGAATTTCTTGGTCATCACCAACAGACACAATTTTGGACCCACTTCCATTGTATTTCACTCCCCAAACCTGTAAATAAGACATAGGCAAGTTTATCCAGAGAGGACAAAGAAAAGAGAATCTTTGTGGCAGTAATATTTATTACAGGCAGTAGAGGAAAGATTATTAAAAAGTCACCTGATTAGAACTGGTGTAGTTCTGGCTTCTGCTTCACCAGCAACTAAGGCTGCCGAAGCAGTGCCCTCTAGGAGCCTGACGAGCTCCTACAGCCACTCCCACTGACTGACTTACACTAGCCAGAGTCAGGCTGAAAAGTGCTTGCCCCAGTTTGCATAAATAACCCAAGCATTTTCACTCTTGCCCATCCTGCAGTCCCTTCTGAAAATAGTATTTTACAGTGCAGGAAAGGAAGAGAGGAAGGATTTTTCATGCAGACTGAGATATCATGACAGACTGAAGAATGACTGGGTTTATCCTTGAGCTTTTTCAGAGAAAACTTAGAAAAGTTCAGGTCAGTCCTCTGATCTAAGACATTACACAAGCTCTTACTTGACACCCACCTCCATCAGAATGACATCAGGAAGGGTGAAGGCTACCCAGCACATTAATGTGAAATGCAGAATGGGTGTGTTGACAACAGTATGTTCTGGGCAATCTTGTACACTGTTTTGCATTAGTACCCAAACCCAGCACTCCCTGTTTGCCACAGACTGAGATCAAACCCAACAGCTAAACAACAGGGGAAATCAAGTCCCACTTGGTACTTCAATATTAAACCCCCATAACTATAGGTAACTGAAAAGAAGGTTACCAGCAAAAAAGTAGTACTATGGAGGAAAATATTCAAATAAAGTCTGGAAGAATATCCTTTGTTTCTTGCTCAGTGGTTCATTAAAATATAACATTGTCCAAATGTTAGGTGATAAACAGAATAAAGAGTAAATGGGTAGAAACCTAACTCCTTCCCTCACAGGTACCTATCACTGAACAATAAATTAAAAACCCACAGTATTACAGACACTGAAGGAAGAAAAACACCCAAGTTCCCAGGCTGCTTTCAAGCATCTGTTTAAGTAATTCCATCCTTTTAAATAAGTATTTCCACCCTTACACATGCACATGCTGTGTTAGTCACAGAAATAAGTAAAACTAGAGACAAAGGTAACAGAGTCTGGTGAGACTTGGGCCACTCAGGATTGCCATTATTTGGGCCTGAAAAAATGTTAATTACTTGGAAGAGATCAGCACATGCACCTGGGAGTACTAGTTCAATATTAAGTGCTAAATAACCACAACTTCTAAACTTTCATTATAGCAGGCTGAAGTTGCACTACTGCAAGCCTGGAGCTGCAGCACCAAGGTGAAGCTCAAACATGCACAACTACACAAGCTCTCGTGGGAATGTGGTGACTCAAGGTAATAGCAGCCATACCTGATCTTGATGGTCAAAAAAAGTATGGACACAGGTCCTCGTTCCAGCATCCCAAACCTTCACACTTTTATCAGATGAACTAAAAGAAAAATAATACTGATTATTATTTAAATTAATACATTAACTGAAGTTTAATGCAAACATTAAAGGGTCTCATATGGGAGACATAAGAAACCCTCTTTCGCCTATCAAATACAGGGATGAAGTGGCAAAGGACTGCATCTTCTGCCAGGTTTCATCACCTTTAAAATAAATTTATAGTTCCAACATCTGCAATGTGAAATGAAGACTCCCATTTTGGCCAACAAATTCTCTGAGGTAAGCTCTTTGGATAAGGAAATTCCTGTTACATATACTTGGGCCCCCAGCTGCCTCAACTGTTTTAAGAATTAATACTAAATTCAAATAGATTAAGGTACTACTAGTTTAGGTTGTAATTCTTTATTCAACAGCAAGTTTTCAGCTATTTAGAATCAAACTGCCATTCTCTTAGGTTGTGTTTTTCACTTGTCAGGAACTACACAGCAATGGTATGACTTCCTCTGTAAAATGTTCTCACTACAGCTGATATCACATTACAGATTGGCTCGAGCCTTTAAATTTTATGTTACTTCATTACAGATCCCACTGCAATTTGTACACACGTCTTCTTTTTTTTTTTTCAGTAATCATAAACAATTAAAAATCCTCAATACCTGGAAACGAAATGGGTATCATCAGGACAAAATGCTACATTTAAAACCCAGGATCCATGACCACTTAATGTGCCAGCCAAATTTGCATGTTGCCTGTGGAAAGAACACATTAACATTTGCTTTGTGAATTCCAGGGAAAAAGCAACAGGAATATATTCTGGCTAGTGCAATCAAGAATGGATCAATGGAAGGTGACTTCTGGACATTTGTTCATCCAAGCTGAACTGGTGTTACAGCAGATTTTATGAAAACTATTTGAAACAAAGTCATTTCATTTCAAATAGTTAACATAAAAAGAAGTCACTAAGAAGATAGACTGGAAGACAAAAAGCAATGCAGGTTTAGGGGGTGAAGCCACTGAAGGTAATGGCCACTGAAACAGGGCCATTTCCTCCCCAGCGTCTTCCAAGGTATTGCAAGATGGAACAGAAATAGGTCATAAATATAATTTCCTGTGTACAGAACACATGTTTAGGAAGAGTGAATGCAAGCTCACAGGACAGATACATAGAAGAATTTGCTTACTGCCTACAGGCAAATATGAGGAAAGTAATTTGTTTTCAATTCTCAGCTTTCTTCTACCTCTACACTTTCAGAAACCATCTAAGGATGTAGTATTTTATTATTTAAGATTATTTATTACACAAAAAGACACCAAAAGCTGAAAGGAATTCTGGAGAGCCGAGGGTTTGCTCTAGGTTTCACAGGATCAGCCTCTGTAAGCAGTTGCTGTCCTGCAGGGCAGGCAGTCCCCACTCACACGTCGTAGATTTTGATGTAGCCGTCGTCGGAGGCAGTGACGAGTAGCTGGGAGTCAGGGGAGAAGGTCAGCGAGCGGATGGGCATGGCGTGGCCTGCAGGCACAGGGACACAGAGCAGGGCTGGCACTCCCTCACTGACACCAGCGCTCAGCCAGCTCTGCCTCAACAGCGCTGCCTGCTCAGAGAGCAGCCTCTGAAGCCCCTTTCTCTCTAGAGGCTTCTTCCCACAACAGAAAATGGAAACAGACAGCAATTCTCAGCTGTGAATGTTAAGGCAGCAACACAGACTGTCTAGTTTCTTTCAGCTGTGGATCTCTATTAGAAATGATGTAATATTTTACAGTATGATTGCATATTTAAGTGGTTGGGGTTTTGGTTACAATTGGGCAGAAACTGCATGAACATTAAAAGCCCATTTATCTGTTAGAAAAAAATGCATGTATTCTAGAACATAAAATGTTCAGTTAGTTTTAGACCTGCAAAAAATTGCTTTCGAACAAATAATGCAAGAAAAAGAAAAACCATATGCAGGGCAGCACACATTTGTCTTGGCTTCATTCCCTTGTACGTTTCTGCAATACAAAGAGCTCCAATTTAAGAATCTAGTTAAGCATTACTGACTGTATCTTTTAAAAAAGGCATTTATGATGCAAGCCTGAGTTTACAGTTTGCCTCTAATTTACATGGTTTAGGTTAGAGCACTAAATTACTAAATATTGTCTAATGGACAAATACGTCAACTCACTTTTGCCATGGTTGTTGTGGGTTATTCTGACTTGCATTATATCCTTTACTTTTGTCAGAAATGAGGTCAGATTTAGGTACTGCAAATAACCAAACCATACCTTCTAGCGTATGCAGAAGTTTTCCAGTCGCAATATCAAAAATATTAATAATGCCATCTATTGCTCCACTGGCCAAGTATTTTCCATCTGGACTCTGTAATAAAACACAAAAAGTGTGATTCAACATCTGTGTGTATTTATGCTGTGTAAGCCCTGACATTCCCTTGGCAACTTTTCACAAATGTATGCAAGATACCTGGGCTCCAAAAATCCTGAAGACTATAAACAAGATCCAAATATATTTTCCAGATGTGCAGGGGGGAAATGTCACACAATTTGTATTTGGAACTATGGCTATCACCTAGTGTTATTGTAGAGTTAAACTGATAGATGGAAAGAAAAATACCTATTCACAGCATATTACAGCAATAGCAATTTCTCCCAAGGAATTATCAGTTGTGCTTCTTACATATGCAATGCTAAGGATGAACTTTCCTCTGGTGTCCAGAGAATATTCTTTCTTTCCAGTTTCAACACCGAAAATATTTACTTTCCCCACGTGACTTCCTGTTGCAAGGTACTGGGAATCAGGTGAAAAAGCCAGGGACCAAGCATCAACTGTATTAAAAAATAAAAAACAGTTAGCTGGATCCTGTTCCTGGTTCTTATTCAAGTGTCAGTTCTGTATGCATCTGTTTAGATGTAACCCCTAAGAGTGTACAAGCTCATCAAGTTACCATTTCTATGTAATTAATGGAGCGTACTTTGAGCCATTTACTTACATTTAGTAAAACATTACATTTCTGGTAAGACCCTGACCTTATGAGACCCTCGTGTAACAATAAATTTAGACTTTAAGACTGCATCAGTTAAGTCAAAATTCTTACTTTTTTCCTGGTACCAAAAGATTGAAACTACTGAAAAAATGAACCCTAGTACGTAGCAAAGCACAGAAGATGCAGGAGAAATGCAGATATACAAATGTAACACAGATAACATTCCTGCAACTGAATGAAAAACCCATCATTTTTCACAGCAGTGCAATGTATTTATCTGGCACAATGTAATTCACCAGGTTTTTTTTTCTAAAAATTTAATACTAAACTGCCTAAAACACTGCAAGATTGTTCTTAAATTTGTGACTTCCAGTGGACTCATGAAATACTTGGAAAAAGACCTTAGGCTGAATTCCAGCTTGGAGAACACCAGCATTGTTACCATTGATAGCTGGTTTGACTTGCTTGCTCAGGACTGGACACGCTGGGTAAAAAAGAATCATGTGCATGGCTCAAATCCACTGCAGTGTCATGAAGAACGTTCAGAACTCCTTTGTAAATTCATCTGAATAAGCATTTGAATGATATCTTCCAAACATCCCTTTACCAATACACGTGTAAGAGCAACCTGGTTTCCATTCTGCTTTATGCATACAGCAAAAAGCCAACTATGTGTACCTGAGAAGTAGTAGTAGTGTGTAAAAATAAATATAAAATTGTCTGATGCTGCTTTGTGTTGAGTTCATAAACCTTTCAGACTTCTGCAATGATAGGAAAGATGAAACCCCCAAAGACCTTAATCCCCTCGTGTACCCCAATCCCCCAGTACTTGCCAGGCAGTCACACTGTTCCCCTGCAGAGCCAGCTCAGCACTGGGTCTTACCAGGACCAGCATCTATGGACTTGATCTGCTTGCCAGTCTCCAAGTCCCAGAGGCGAATGTGGGCGTCCAGGGAGCTGGATGCTGCAATGGCACCCGTGTGGCTGATGTCCACAGACACCACCCCCAGCTGGTGGCCCTCCAGAGTCCACTGCAGATCCAGCTTTTCATCATTCCTTCCGTGCAGGGGAAAGAAAAGCCCAGTTGGGAACAGCTGGAGGTGCTGACCATCCCCACCTCACACAAAGCAAACGATCCACATTCCTCCCTTGGTTCAACACCAGGCAATCCAGTCCTCCCACGAAATGTGAAGGGCTACACACAAACTCTCTGTACTCAAAGAGCTGACAAACCAATAATTTACCACATTCCAGCCAAGCAGGCATGTCATGCTGAGTCTGGAAGCCATCCCACCACAAAATGTCGTCACACACCAGTCTGTGGGTGCTCAGGGCTGACCTGTGAGCTCAGCACCACGAGTGACATCTTCAGAGTCACCCAGCCCAGCTAAACCCATCACCTAAGTGAAGCACATCCTGCACACTGCTCTGCCCAAGAGACAATAACCTCTTGCAAAAGCACACTTCCACAAGGATTATCAGGATCTTTCTTTCAATAGAAAAGGAAGATGCAATTTCCTCTTTCTTGCTATTCCCATTATTTCTTTCACAATACACATCTCCAAATGCACTGTCTCATCAAAAGATGCATTTCTCATTGTTTGGTTTAGAAGTACATTAAGTATTCTCTGACATGCATTTTCAAAAGGATTCTCATTCTTTTGAAATGAAAGCACACCAGAATGCCACCACTCCAAGAGAAAGCACACACCAATGGAGATGAACTTGCTCAAAGAAGCAGCTGTGTGTGCCATTGTTCTAACATCCCTGCAGATTATGGAGATTCAAGGCTGCTCCACACTGACTGCTCTAAGGCCTGACACAGATCAATATGGAGCACTTACCACTTCCAGACCTTTACCAGATCATCCAAAGAGCCGGAGATCACTGTTTCAGAACCATCATTTTTATTTTTGCCCCAGGCAACTGACCAAATAGCATCATCGTGAGCTAAGAGAATATAAGCACATTAATTAAAAAACAAGTGTTTTCTTTTGACAGAAGACCACAGCCGGTTTTGGCAATGCTGAAGTGGCCAGCTGCAGTGCTGGCAATAGACACTGCCCTGCTCCTCAGGTTATTGAGTGCTCCGAGAGCCGTGGCACTGACTTCTTTGTTCCAAAATACGTAATGTGTTGTGTGACCAGCGTGACTGCTGAAAAAGCAGCACAGCTACCTCTGAATTACTCAGATTTATGCCTAATATAAACATAACCAGGTCTCCTCACACGGATACCTGCCATTATCCACTTTACATCATCCCAGAACACCAACCTTGCTCAACACCCGTTAGCGTTTGCTCACCTTGCTCTTGCTTGAAGAGAATGCCGTACTAGAAAGAAAAAATAATTAATATTACACATGAGCAGCCTATACACATACATACACACACCTCAAGGCAGCAATCAGCTTAGCTAACGCTGTATTTTTAATTACCTGTGTGGTCATGTCTGTGCGAAAACAGCCCGCCGGGAGCGCGCCGAGAGCAGCCGCACACAGCTCCCGCCGCCGTCGCGCCCTGATGACCTCAGGTACCACCGAGAGCGCCGCGCCCCTGCGCCCTGCGGCTCTGCCGCCGCCCTGTGGCCGGGAGGAGCAGGCGCACACGTCCCGACCCTCAGCGCCCTCGGGGGCAGCGGGACCGAGCCCCGGCCCCGGCCCCGCGGTTTGCATCTTCATCACCGCCTCTCGCTCATCCCCGCCCGCTCACCCACAGCACAGCCCGGCGCCACCGCTGTCGGAAGCCCTCAGGTGTTCGTGTGTGGCACCGGTGCCGGCGGTG